CTGCCTCGCCATGTGGTCTCCTCCGGGGCAGGTGGGAATCGAACTCATGCGGAAGTGGCTTTAGCTTCTCAGTGCAGCGCTTTAACCCGCTGCGCCACCAGGAAGGGCCCATTTAGGAATTTTTATACTTGCTGTTATCTTTTATTCTCTTCAGTCAGTCTTTCTCCATGGAGATTTCTTTGATAGGGAATTCCTAAAATTGCTTTATGGTAAAAGTAGAAATTTAAAGTCTGGTTAAAAATAACCACCACTATTACTTGACAGTCAGTGTTTGCTGTAAACCTTTTTCATAGACGTCCCAGGTAAAATGGTAGCATTTATTTTCTGATATATTCCTTCTAGCACAATCTTGCACTATAATTTTCCCTCAATTACCTTTTCTTTTGAAAGTAATGATTTAAAAGTGATAGGTAGTGTTCAGATGGATCTACTTTAAAGATGATTTTCATGGTGTTTGTGTAGTATCATCGAAGAGTGAGCTTTAAGTAGCAGCAAATCTAAGTTTTCTCTTAGGCACTCTAATTTTCACGTTTTTCTAGGAGATAGCTATATTTATCTTGAACAGCGAAATAAAACATGATTTTACTTTGTTCCTCTAAGATGGAATTGGGAGAAAAAATAAACCTTGTGTTAGTTGTTAATTTTTAGTACAATTAGACATAACTAATTCAGCAGTAACAATTTGTTAAATTGAGGGGGGGGGGACTGCTGTAGAATCTGTACCCAACCTTTTCATGTTAGGGTTTTGTATAGTGGGATAGCGAAACAGCATCTGAACTTTAGTGAGAAAACAGTCATTTGCTTGTATTGTAGGCAAACCTGCAGAAAATGATGTTAAGCTTGGAGCTCTCAAACTGAAACCAAATACTAAAATCATGATGATGGGAACTCGTGAGGAGAGCTTGGTAAATGTTTACTTTTGTTACCATTTGTCCCTTTAAAGATACGATTTCTCTTTCACTGTTGTAGCATAGTTTTTATTATGGTACAGTTGTCACTTTTTAAACATCAATGAAAATTAAAAGCTGCCCAGTGAATGTGGCATTAACTTAAGAGAAAACAAATCCTGGGGAAATTGTTAGATACAGTTAGCTATAAATAGAGCAGTAGGGCAAATTGTCAGATTTAACACCGTCACCCAGTATAAAGAATTACTAGATGTGGGACTTTTCCCACCTTGTGTGATTGAAAGACTCTTGAGCTCAAGTTGTATCTCTTCATTTAATGTTTATGTTATGTATATGTTTGCAAAGTTAAAGAACCAATAAAGCAAAACTGTTTTCATCTTAATAGGAAGATGTCTTAGGTCCACCCCCTGACAATGATGATGTTGTCAACGATTTTGATATTGAAGATGAAGTAGTTGAAGTAGAAAACAGGTAAGTGCTTTTTACTATCATTGGACATTGGTTGTAATGTGAGAAAAAGTGAATGTTTCATGATTTTATTTTTCTATTAGGGAAGAAAACTTACTGAAAATTTCTCGCAGAGTAAAAGAGTACAAAGTGGAAATTTTGAATCCTCCCAGGGAAGGGAAAAAACTCTTGGTTCTAGATGTTGATTATACATTATTTGGTAAGTCAGTAAAATTGCACTTCATCTCTGTACCTGCAACATTTTCCCCCCTTTTATTTATTCTTTACTTGCAACTCAGGGTTCACATGAATTATTTGAAAATTTTTCTTATTACAAAAGTAAATTGTTCATTGTAGAAAATGGATTAAGTCCTGAGACTCAAGATGGTGTCTCTTAACATTTAATGTGTACCTTCCAGAGTGTGTATTTGTGTATCCTTTTTGCTTTTACCTAATGATAGATCGTTAAATGTATATGTTTTCTTACAAACTATTCTAGCTTATTATACATCATAATTCAACCAATCATTCTCTATTGATTGACATTTACATTCTTAGGAGGATTATTTAAAAGTTATTTTTGATACGTATCCCATTTTAATAATGTTTTCCATTTAATAGTGCTCTATTTTAATAATGCTTAATAATCATTTTCTGCAGGTTTGCCTACAATACAAGCAAATGACTGTTTTCTCACTAAAGTTCAGGGCTGATTCTTGAATTTAAAATTTCCCATGTTGACAAAACTTTTTTTATTTCATTCTCTGATATTAAGAACTCACTAAATACTTTTATGAGTGATCAATTGCTGTTATTAGAATGAATTTATTTACCTTTAATCCTAAACTTTAAATACATGCGATCAGTTAATGTATACTTATTTTAAAATTTAGCTACTAATTGGATCTGTTGTTTTGGTCAAATGTGATTTTATCTGGAAGAATATAACTAACCCTAGTTTGTTTCTCATAATCATAAAAAAATCTATAGTTAGAAATGAGATTATGTGAGAAATAAAAATTATTTTACTATATAAGCCTGAATTCTAGGTATTTTTTGAAACCTGACCAAAATGGATTAATTAAAATTTATCACAAGGATGTTAAATTTTGGACTTTGAGAAACATCTCTGTCAGTGAAAATTACTTAGTCTGAAGTAGTTTATGTATGTGTGACATCTTACAAGTTTCATTGATATGATGTCCTTAATTGAGATAATAAGCTGATTATCATCTGTGATTGGTTTTCTTGTAGACCATAGGTCTTGTGCGGAGACTGGGGTAGAGTTAATGCGGCCATATCTTCATGAATTCCTGACTTCTGCCTATGAGGATTATGACATTGTTATTTGGTGTAAGCTATATTTTTGTTCAGATTTCTATGGAAATAAGGTTATTCCTTACATATCTTACTTTAGAAAATATGACAAAATGAACTGTGTTTAAAAGTGATAAATTTTCATTTGTTTTAGCAAATTTCTGACAAAGCATGTTTAACTTTCTTGGATCAAAATACAAATTTATATACATATTTGCAAGTATCATTGAAATGGTTCCATGTAGTAAGAGTAGATCATGATGTCATGAGCCCCATCTTGATTAGAAGTCTCTCTTACTGGTCTTTACTTAGCATCCTTCAGCTTTTGGATATTGTTGCTGTCCTTTCTTTATAACACTAGTTTCCAAATATTGGCTAAAAATAAATTTCACAATGATCTATAGTTCTTCAGAAATAAAGAGTGTGAAGTTGTGCTTAAGGAAAATTAATATGCTGATGGAAGCAAAATTGTGGTCATTGGACCTTCCAAGAAACGGAGTCTGTCGTAAGATAATGAATTTTCTCCAAAAAGCTTTTTTTTTTGGTAGCAGAATTTTCTCAAAAAGGGAAGTGGGCTACTGATTGTGTATATTCTTTCCATAAACAATTTGAAGTTGCCACTTAGAAAGTCATAAACAGGAAAGAGCTATCTGATTGTGGATTTAGATAGAATCACATCAGTTACAGATGCTGCATTATTTGAACTAGAATTTTAATGAGAAACCATGTAGTTTTTAACACAGTCTGTAGATTTCCTCAGTACTCTTCCTTTTAATCAGAATGTCTCTGCTAGTCACAATATGAGTTCATAGGACCTACTTGATGGTGCAGGAGTTAAAGTCTCAGTGTTATCAAACTAACACTAGCCACTGCAGCAGGAATTGGATCCCCAGCCAGGGAGTTAACCCACATGGTGCAGCAGACCTCTCCTGTTTGGCCAGATGTTTCCCCTCAGCAGTGTATTTCAGTGTATTTACCTGTCCTGCTCCCCACTCTGTCTCTGTTGAATCTTCTTACCCCTGCACCTCTGACCTACACCCCAGTTCTTGTATGGATAATAAATCTTAAAAAATATATATGAGTTCAAAATAATTAGATTAAATACATAATTTGCTAGTCTGTAAGTTCCAGAGGAGAAAGCTTCCTGAGACACCAATTTTTGTTCAGTAGCTCTGATATCTAAGATGACAATTTAGAAAAAAAAAATTTCCCTTTAAATATTAATGTAGACTTTGAATTTAAAGAACTTTCAATAGTCATCCTTTTAAAATCACTTTTTGTGACTTATGGGATTTTGTGATAGTGGCTTAGAAAGGGCATTTTACTTTGGAATAAAATAGACTAGGGTTTTAATACAGTTTTATACTGGACAGGGGAGTATATAATAGTTAACTTAATAATTAGAAACCCTTTTTTAAAAAATAACTGAATCTGTTTTTCATATTGGACTTATAAATCCCAAGTAACACTGAATATAAAAAAAGTATTTTTCCCTATATCATGACTAGTGTAGATAACATCTATCTCTTCAATTTTAATTTATCTAACCAGTTGTGCATATCTGATAATTCTTATGCTCCTCATGCTTGTACTAAAGTTGTATATATTGGGAACCCAGGTACCTCTTTTGCTATGAAACACAGACACACTTCCTTTCCCCCTTTTTAAACATTTTACTTGATTAATACCTAAACAGTTTAGTCCAGTAACCTGGGACCAACAATGCATTTAAAATTGAGGACAGAATGTTAAAATTTGTGATTAGACATTGAACAGATAGGAGGCTAAGTTAGATACACTGTGAATTAAATTGGCTTAGATCTTATTAAAAGCTTTAGATTTGGTGAGCACTAAGTTTGCTGAGCCTAATTTTCACTACCTAGCCTTTCTTTAACTTTGATATATACCATGAATCTGCTTAGATTGATGTATACATTTGTGCATTGGAAGAGAAAAGAAAATGAAGACCCAGGCATCCTAAATCTAAGTTTGAAACTGATACAGAACAGTGTCAGGCTTGATTTTCAAGAAAATTTAGACCTTTATATATACATTTCCTAGGTTGCAAGTTCTTTGGAACATTGGTTACCTGCATTTTTTAAATAAAAGTTGTTTAAATTTTGTCTTGAAGACACACTAAAATGAGTTTATAAATAACATTACTATAGATATGCCAGAGATTGTTATTGATGATACACCTGAACTTTTAGTCTTGCTTAGAAAACCTAAGTAACTTATTTATGCAGAGATTTTTAAAGTGAAATTCAAGTTTTTCATGTATATTGTATCATTCCTCATGTTTTAGCTGCAACAAATATGAAGTGGATTGAAGCTAAAATGAAAGTAAGTGTTAGAAAACAATCCATTTTAAGAATGTTTTGAAACTGTATTTGTCTTTTTAGAAGTTCAAAACTGAAGTAATTTCTTTCTTATTGGATGGCATTCAGTAGATTATCAAACACCATTATAAGGAGCAGATGGGTACAGTCTGTTTAATTGTGGATCAGGTTGCTACCCATGTCCTTTTCAAGAAAAATCCCCCTTCTTTTTTCCTCCCATTTTATAATAATGCTTTCTTCCTTTTGCTCTGGTGTATAATCCTTAAAGGAGTGATGAATTTCTAGAATAGCAAAATGAAAGGTAATCAATTTCTGGTCTACTACCCTTAGACTCCCATATATTAACTGAGCTAAGTGAAATTAAAATACTTCCTAGTCATTGAGCAATATATGGTGCCTAGTGGGGTAGAAAACTGGCATTATGGGAAATTGTAGTTGGAATATTAAGAAAGCCTGGAATTTTGTACAGTGTTATATTTTAATCACATGATTATTTATTTTTAGGAGCTGGGAGTGAGTACAAATTCAAATTATAAGATTACCTTCATGTTGGACAGTGCTGCTATGATAACAGTACATACTCCGAGGAGAGGACTGATAGATGTAAGAAGTTATTTTGCTTCTATATAAAAACTTGTTCTTTTTGTTTTGTAATTTTTGTGTTTTCATTGATAGAATAAATTACAGAAAGAATTTAGAAAGATAGCTAAGCAGACAGTAAAATATCAGTTGAATTTTGACATAGGATGATATTTTTAAGGACAGTAGATTCTAAATTTATTCCTAAGATTAAAGATCTTGAACAAAACTGTCCAGAAAGGTCATGGAAGAGTTTCCCATGATACTGGCAACACAGTTCCTAATGGCAGAGTAGTTTATTGACTTACTTGTTACTAAGGAGGACTAGAAACATCCAAAACATAGTCATCCTGTCCTGCCTGAAACTGTTGAAACTGTTAAAACTGTACACCATGGCGTGTGTACCTGAGTCAGTGCATAACCCTAGAGGAGGTGAATGAGAGGTCTGGGAGAAAGGGTTTGGGCTGAAGTTAGGGTCCTTCACTTTATTTACTTGCCACGTGTAGGAATGAGATTCCTACCTTAAATAACATACTTTCACTTCTAAAAATTAATTTACTTGGAAAATGTTTCTGCCCATAAAATACATTTACATGATTCAAAAATAAAAATAAAATCTATAATGAAAAGTCTTCCTCCCATCCAGCCCCCCCCGCCCTTTTCTTCCCATAGTCTGTCACTCTTGTCTTGTGTGATTTTAGCCAGGCGCCAACAGATATGAGTTCCTACAGGATTATCTTTTTGAGGGTCATTTTAATAACTTAAATAAAAGCAAGATTTGCAAATCATTGTGCTTTTGAAGTTAAATGGATAAATGACCTAGAAATCAGTGGACCTATCATTGAATTAAAGACAAAAATCAGTTTTCCTTTATGTAATATTTAAACTCTGTACCAAAGCTAGGTGCATTGTCATTTAGATCATTTAGTTTTAAAAACAGAGCCCATAAGCCTTTGAAGCTCTGAGGAGCATGTGGCAGTCCAGGAAGTCATGTGACTGTCAGCGGACAACTTTAGATTGTTGAATTCCATGTGAAATATATAAAATCTCATTAAGGGTTAAGTTTGGTTAGTAATAGACCTCAGTTGACACTTTGAGATGTATTGAACTCTAATTCATCTCAGCTCTGGTGGGTTCACCCAGCCTGGCATTGCTCCCCACAGGAGCTGGGGAATACCCTGGCATAGTTCTGCAGAGTATTTTGCAGTATCTTTGCTTTTAAGAAAGGATGAATGTTCATACAGTTTGAGTTAAATCTATATTTTCATTCTAAGGTAAAGCCTCTTGGTGTTATATGGGGAAAGTTTTCGGAGTTTTACAGCAAAAAAAATACCATCATGTTTGATGACATAGGAAGAAATTTTCTAATGAACCCACAGAATGGACTAAAGGTAAGAGGTAATTTTACTTGGTGTATGCTTGAATACCAGGTAGAGCAATAAGCATTGTGGACTTTCGTACATTTTTGGAAACATTGTATTCTTGTGGTCACTGGCAAGAAAAGGTTGAGTATTTAGAAAAATTAATATAAACTGAACATTTTCTGTTATACATTGATAACCTTGCTTAGCCAGCTGACCCAGAGGTCTTTTTTTTTTTTTTTTTAAGATTTATTTATTTATGCATACAGAACTGGAGTGCAGGTCATAGGTGCAGGGGCAGTGAGAGGATTCACCAGAGACAGAGTGGGGAGCAGAACAGGCAGACTAACGAAGTGCACTGCTGAGGGGAGCAGCGGGCAAGACAGGAGAGGTCTGCTAGGCCATGTGGGTCACCTCTGGGGCGGGGATTGAACTCATGCTGAAGTGGCTTTAGCTTTTTAGTGCTGTGCTTTAACCTGCTGTGCCACCAGGGAGGGTCCCCAGAGGTCTTCTTTTTTTTTAAAGATTTATTTATTTAAGCATACAGAACTGGGGGTGCATATCTAACTGTGGGTGCATATTTAGGTGCAGGGGCAGTGAGAGGATTCACCAGAGACAGAGTGGGGAGCAGAACAGGCAGATGGACGAAGTCCACTGCTGAGGGGAGCAGCGGGCGGGTCAGGAGAGGTCTGCCACGCCATGTGGATCTCCTCCAGGGCAGGCGGGGATCGAACTCATGCGGAAGTGGCTTTAGCTTCTTTGTGCTGTGCTTTAACCCGCTGCGCCACCTCTGGTAGGGCCTCCCAGAGGTCTTCTTAATCAGCTTTGTGGAGTAACATGAGCTTGCTGATACTGCCTTTTAGTATCAAAAGTGAAAGCATCAGAGACATACTTGTTACAAATCACAATTCTGATATTTTCATTAGCTGGAGAATCATCAACAAGACACTCCTTTATTTTCCTTTTTAAACTAAAACTAATTTTTGAAAATTCATACAAGGTAAGTGGAGAACTTAGAATTATAAAATGTCACAACTAGAACAAACCTTAGGTTCTGGTCATCTCTTGTCATTTTATAGAAACAATTTTGAGGGCTAGAAAGTCCATGACATTCCCCAAAACATCGTGTAAGTGGTTAATGACAGAATGTGTTTAGAATAGAAGTGACTTGGTTTCTGAGCCAGTGATGATCATAGCATGAATTCACATGCAATCTTCATTGGTATTCTAGTGACATTTAACCCTGGTGGCAGTGGAAAATAGGTAAAAGAGAAACTTGAAATGTAATTTCAGGTGCCTGTAAAGAAAGGCGTGTGTGTTGGTGCAATGGAAAAATGGAAAGATAGCACATACCACATTACTAATGCTAATGGAGTCTTCACCTGAAGGGGGAATGCTGGTGCTGAGGTATTCAGCCCTGATCATTTCCACCAGCTGGGTTCTTGGTAACTTGAAAAGATAAGAGAGAAGAACTTAGAAGAACATTCATTTTTAAAGCTTTCCTTCTGGACTATTGCTGTGGTCTTTAGTGGACAGTGGGAATAATTTAGGAACAATTGCCAATCTAGGTAGTGAAGTGGACACAAAGGCAAGAGTTGCTTGCTGAGAACTGGGGGGGAATCAATGGGTGGTTACATTGTTACATTATCTGTTAAAATTGTTTCTGTTTGAGACTTTGGAGAAATTTTTTTGCGAGTGTATTTTGTAAGTCTTAAGGTATAAGGTGTTCTTCAGTCTGAGGAGAGACTAAGCTGATTTCAGTTTGCTTCTCCATGAAACTAGTGGTTGTTTCCTATACTGGCAAGGGGATGAGTTCATAATATGTAAGGAATGATTTCAGAGTAAAGTTTTTTTCTAGAAAACATGCTCTCATTTAATTTCCTTTCTCCCACCTCCATCTCCCCACTGACCCCAACCCCCCACCCTGCCCCTGACCCCAATCCCCCACCCTCCCCCGCTCATCTTTGGACCCTACTGTCTCTGCATGCAGAGAGGCAATATTATTAATTTTTAGTTCTTCATGTTTAGTGCAGGATTTTTTTTTTTTAAAGATTTATTTCTTCATATAGAGCCGGGGTACAGGCCAGAGATGCAGAGGGTGAGAGGATTCACCAGAGACAGAGAGGGGAGCAGAACAGGCAGATCGACTAAGTACACTGCTGAGGGGAGCAGCGGGCGGGTCAGGAGAGGTCTGCCTTGCCATGTGGATCTCCTCCTGGGCAGGTGGGAATCGAACTCATGTGGAAGTGGCTTAACCTTCTTAGTGCTTTAACCTGCTGCGCCACCAGGGAGGGCTGCAGGATTTTTTTTTTTTAACTTGCATACTCAGAATCATGGAAGGAATTCCTAAAAATACATTTATCCCCACCCCCAAAAAATATATTTCAAGAGAGGTATTTTTAAGAATTCTAAGGTAACCTCCTTCATGTATCTCCTTTTAAAAGCCTCTTTTAAGAAAGTAGTTATTAATTATGTGCCCACACTGATGTAAAAGAGATTTGGAAATTGAAAAATGTTCTTAAATATTGTGTCTTATCATTCTGCTTTCAGAATGCTCTTGTTAGAAATCTCAAAGATTACACAGATTTTAAAGATAAGCCTACTTATTTTTAATAGTTAACTTCTAATATAAACTTGCTAACCTTAAGGTGTGAAATATAAAGTAAAATACTTTGTGATTTATGATAATAGGACCAATAAGACTTGACTTTGGGTCATGGATAAGTCACAACCTCATATTTAGGGACTTCCCTGGTGGTGCAGGGGTTAACGTCTTAGCACTTTCAAGCTATCAAGCCACTGCCCATGAGTTCAATCCCCTGCCAGGTATCTAAACATCTCCTGTCTCCCACTGCTTTCACCTCAGCAGTGTACTTCATTCAGTCTGCCTGTTCTTCTCCCCACTCTGTCTCTAGTGAATCTGCTCACCCTCCACATCTCTGGCCTGTGACCCCGTTCTTGTATGCATAAATAAATAAATCTTTTTTAAAAAAAGAAAATTAATTAGTAAAAAAGTACCTTGAAGATAGAAGGTGGGGGGGAACTCTAAGAAGTTTTGCAAGGCAGAGTAGTCCAGTGAGACAGCTGGTGTTGTAAGAATCAGTATACCTCAGGTAGTCAGTGGGAAAATTCTTACCTTATACTAAAACATTTCAGCATGACAGTCTGTTCATCTGAGATCATGTACTTGGTAACGTTGTAAGCTCATCAACTCTAGTGTAAATGGTACACTAGGTATAGGTTTTTGTGAGTTTCCTTGCTGCATTGTTAAATGTTAAATTATGTTTGTTTCTTAATAGATAAGGCCTTTTATGAAAGCGCACCTAAATCGAGATAAAGACAAAGAACTCTTAAAACTAACTCAGTACCTCAAGGAAATAGCAAAATTAGATGATTTTTTGGACCTAAATCACAAGTATTGGGAAAGGTAAGTGCTAATGGCTTCTTCATTTTCTCTTTAATGAAGGAAGAAATATCTGGTGACTCCATATATACATAACTCTTTAATTTTTACTGACATGGGTGAATTCTAAAAATATGTTCTAGTTCAGGGCCATCTCCAAAAATATTTTTCCCTTTTGTCTCATCCTCTAACTTACTCACATAGACCTGTGTCTCTGAAGATCTTTAATTCTTCCGCTACAAAGGACTTCAGAGATGGGTACATGTTTTAACACTACCTGTATTGTAATTTATTTTGTGACCTTAGTTCAGTCTTTTATGAGCCATGTGGAAATTTAACCCTTGTTCTCTTACTATAAAATAATGTTGGTATAAGAACACTAAAACATTTCCTGAATAGTGTAAGCAACTTGTATATGTAGTAGAAAGACTAGAAAACTGCATTCTACTAGAAAAACAATTACTCATGATTTCCTTTTTCAAAGATGCCATTTTAGTGTACAATTTTGCAGTCTTTTTATCTGAGCACAAATGTATCACAGATTGCAGATAGATGATATATAAGTGAGATTGTGAGGCAGGAGTGTAGCTCTGTAACTGGACAGGATTACTAGCTACTGCAAGTGATCTTTTGGGTAAGAACTTTAAAGAGCTATTCCATTTATATGGCAAATAAAAGGAATTTCATGTAGTAGTAACATTTTGACTTTCCAAATTTCACATTTTGCTTTTCAGTTTCTTATCAGAGTTCCACAATCCTGTTAGGAAGACAAGGCAGACACTTTTGTTCCCCACTCCAAAATGTAGATGATGTTGCTGAGTCAGAGAGAATAAAGGCCATTGCCTGCCACTGACAGGGTGCACCACCCAAACTTGCCCTGATCTGCTGTTTTTAAGAACTCTTTCTCCATCTCCGTGCCATTGAGTATGATTCGTAAGTGTGAGAAAGGGAAATATGGAAGATCTGATTTAGTGGTAGACTGCTAAATAATAGGAAGAAAAATTCTTTGTTTAATAAATTAACATTTTTACTTCTTTACTGTTCTGATCAGAGTATTTCAACATTTTTACCTGTGTTCATGCTAGAAAAAAAGGATGTCTAAATGATGTTTGAGTTATATTCAAAATGACAATAATAATTTATATATTTACTCTCAAATTTGGAAGTAGGCAGTTTGGAGGGATAGTTCAATCAAGTACAGTCCCAGATCCTTGTTATCTAAGCCCTAGCACTTCCCCTGAGAGTGAACTTGGGGACATTGCTTTACTACTCTGGCCTGTAAAGTGGGACTGCGTAGAACTGCTGTGAGGACTAAATGAATTAACACATGTACCTAGAACAGTGCTCGGAAGGTAAACATCCAACAGATGTTAGGAATTGTTGATAGTTATTACTCATGTTGGAAATTTTTGTTACTAAAATGCTTTCTTTTGGGAGGAAGGTTAGAATGTTACCATGAATTTAACATGATATAACTTGATCATCTTCATTTTATTTTTTGTAGGTATCTTTCAAAGAAGCAAGGACAGTAGGTCCAGATTATTCTGAAGATACTTGAGATCCAGGAACTCTTGCTTTTATGCTAGAAATCATTATGATAGTGCTGGACACTGAAGCATACACCAGACGGCTTATACTTGGTCTTCCAGTATTTTGTAAATTTAATTTTATATTTTTTGAAGATCATAGCAATATGCTAAAAAAAATCCTTTTTCTCCTCTATATGAACATACTCTTACTCTTGAAAAATATTTTCTCGAGCATTGACAACTGAGTTTTCTCCCACACAAACACACAAAAGTGGACAAAAGTATGTACTCAACAGTGTCATTTTGTATCTTTGGAAACAAGTTATATTGGTGTTTTTGTCTCAGTGTTCTTTCTGACTAAATGTAAGACCAGAACCATTTTGAAACTACTATGTTTCCCTTAAAACCAAAAAGAAAAAAAGTTTGTGAGTAAAAAGGCTAGTTGGTTGTGCTTGAAACCACCAAGAATTTTTTCCTTTATCATAGTCACAGTTTCTCTTCATACTCTACTATTTACAGCTCTGAATTCTGAGCTGTCTCCATTTGGTCTTGTGTGTCAGTGTTCTTTGAGTAAAACTGGAAAATGTCAGCTGTGATACAGTTATAGTATGAGAAAAAGAAACCACGAGACTGAAGAATGAAACTAAGGAACACCAGTGTGACTTGTTTTGGGGTGACTCAGTAGAAGCACTTCTGCTAAACCATTGTCTTAAAGGCAATACATTTAAAAATGATTCAGCCCTAAAAAGCATGAACAAAAAGGTTCTTTTCTGTTACAGCTACATTTTGTCTCAGTGCAGACACTATGTTTCAGTGAAAATATCTAGCCATAGGATTAAAAAAACTTGCAACGCTTAAGCCTGCAGATACATAATGAACTCACAGTTCTGTGTTAATGATATGGCTTTATTCAGTTACTGTATTTGGAAGGAACCTGATCCTTTCAAATAAATATGGTGTATATTGTTCTTACGGGACTATGTCAGTGGTGTAAATAATAAATACCTTTTCTTAAAACACTTGTTTATCTGCTCTATATGATCCTAAGTATTGTTGCCTCTGTGTTGAATCGCAAAACAAGCATTAGGTTCAGGCAAAAGACTTCTTGAACAAATTTAAATATATTTGGTTTTAAAAGTGTGTCAATCACTATTCATGCAGTCAGAATTAGTTTTGGTGCAAATTAGATAAATTACACTATTGTAATTTTCAGAAAGATTAACTTTTTTTGGTGCCAGATTATCATCAGGATATACAGTGAAGAAGACTATGAGAGCCTTTAAGATGCTTCATTTAAAACACATTTCTTAATTATGAGGCCAGATGTAAATTTTGAATGATGGAATAAAATACTTTATATTCATTTCAGTAGCGCACTACCCACTGTAAAAGGCAGTTTATTATTCCAGTGTTGGCATAGAAAGGACTTAATCTTTTAAAGAAAAGGGAACACTTTTGAAACTATCTAAAGCCTAATTCAAAAAAGAGCAGACATTTTCTAAATCAGTATAACCTGAAATACAAGCATCGGGATGCAAAGTGGAGTTTTGAAAAGCATTTTCAGCCATTAGGTGGTGCCCAAACCAAAGTTTCCTAGCCAGAATGCTAAATTAGACAATTTGGGGAGAGTATTGTCATTGTCGGCTTATTAAGGTCCCATGTGCTTGTGTGATTAATACCTTCATAGACTGTGGGAGTTTTAGTTTATCTTCTGCAGCTTATGATTTATTGGGCAGATATATCTAATTATCTATGTACGTAGCCCCACAGCAGAGCCAGTAGATGACTTAACTCAGTTGCATATTCTGCTGAAAAGTTATTTTTACGATATATATGTTCCATACTTTCAGACAATTAGTACTTCATATATTAAGAATCTGGAGAACATCGTTATATCTTTGATTTAGAAGGCAATTTAAGATCTAGTAGCCCCTCAGGTCCTTCATAAAAATCAGCTGTTGGAGTAACGATACCTATGAGAGTCATTCAGTTTCAAAGCAAAGAATAGGTAAGCAGGTTGTTACAGGAAGCAGCTGGAACATGTTCTGTGTTCAGAGTGAAATGGCTGACTTGTGGGGAGGAGGAGATGGAGCGTGGAAGGATAGGGATGGGACAGAAGAGTATACAAAAAAAAATTGCTAGTGATTTAGGCTTTTGTTTTGAATGCCAGTTGGTTGCCAACAATGATAAAACATGAATAGTGAGTAAACCAGTGAAAGGCTTTCCTCATCCCAAGTTATCGGCAACATCCTCTCCAGGAGTAAATTGTTAGCATTTTCCCTGAAGAATACATCAAAATTCATTAAATGTTATATCTTTAAAGATTAGGTGTTTATTTTTATCTGGATATCCTACTCTTTGGAGAAGCCATCAGTCTTGGTGAGAATACTAAATATTTAGAGATTAAAAGAAATCACTGACCATTTAATAGTTTCTCAAAGACTTCTGAGAATCAGAAGTATTATGTATTATAAGATCTGGAACAGAAATTAATATCAGGCATCTTGTAGGTCTAGAAAGGGGATCAATTTTAATGTCAGTAACTCTTCCTGGTGACACAGTGGGTTGGAGCACTGCACTACAAAGTAAGCTAAACCAAGCTGCGGCCACTTCAATGCCACTTCTATCCGCACCCCGGAGGTGACCCAGGTGCAGCAGACCTCTCCTGTCTCACCTACTGCTCCCCTTAGCAGTGTACTTGTCGATCTGCCTGTTCTACTCCCCACTCTGTCTCTGGTGAATCCTCTCATTGCCTCTGCACCTCTGGCCTATATGCCAGTTCTGTATGCATAAATAAATAAAATCCTTTTAAAAATTTACATAATTTACATAATTTTTATGTTTATAATTTTTGAGAATTCCTTGGAGACAAGCTCTTCGTAAACCCTAGTGTGAAAATATTTCCTGATACAGTAAAAGGTTAGTTATTAAAACAATGATTTCCTCTGGAAAGGTTTTAAAAGTTGCACCTATGATTGGTAAGGCCATTTATAAACAGTGGGAACACATTCCTTAAAAATGCCAAAACCAAAGACTGCCTAAGTATTTGTGATAGTTCCATAAGTCAACAGAGCTACTATGAACACAGGTTAGTGATAATTTGTTGTATAATTTGTGATACTACCAAACTGCCAAACTGATGACTTCTCAGGAACATGCAAATACTAAAATGTAAACAATTTTTGATTGAATACAAATCCCTCTTAGTACTATTCCACGTTCTTAAATCTCTGGAGCACCTCTGGCTATATATTACTTCTTATTACATAATCTATAAGAAAAACAGCTATGGTTTCCCAAGTGATATCTGCAGAAGGGCAAATAATTGTCAGAAAAACAATCCCTCCTTACTAGTGGCGGGACATTTGAGGATGTCTTTCAACTCTGAACTTTTGATATTTCCTCAAGGGAGTACAAATAATACTGATCTGTCCCATAGGCTGTTAGGAAGTCAAATGATAGAATTTGTGTGGATGTGCTTGAAAGCATCTAAGGCGTGTGTATATTAGAGTTACTAAAAGTAGTTCAGAGTATGTGGCTAACATTGAGCTCTGTCACTCGTGAATAATAATCACCAAGGCTGTAGTATTAAAAGGAAGATTTTTCTTAAGTATAAGTATATATAAGTATATATATAAGTATATATTTTAGATACTGCCTTGGTTTTCTGAAATCTCTATACACTCAAGGAAAGAATGAGGACACTCCTGTGATCTAGATGTTTTTGTAAGTGTCCTAATGCTTTGGAGTCTGTAAATGCCATTTATGTTTGGAGAGAAGATCTGTCCTCCCTATGCTGGTATGTTCGAGACTGTAGCAGCAGCATCATACACCCTGTAGAGTGGAATAGTAACATTATTTTAAGCTTCTAACTTTGGAAAGCGGCTGTTCCCATGTAGAAATTTGCTTATTTTGCCATGTCATGTAAAAAAAATAAAAAGTCATTCCAAAAAATGAGATTTGAAAACTTTATTTCTTGCAAAATTATACTAAGGTACATACTAGTTGTTTTTTTTTTTTTTTCTGGCAAGCTTAGCAGAATAAACTGCAGGAAGCAACACTTGCAGCTGCTCCGTGCCATTTGTGACTCAGCTGCCATTTTTCAGAGGTAAACACAAGAGTCCCTACTCTCATAGGTCTTATATTTGAATCAGAGAAATAGGACAATTTCTGGAGAGTGGGAAGTGCTGACTAAAGATAATAATCTGATAGAAAAGGGAGTGGGGGCCCTCCCTGGTGGCGCAGGGGGTTAAAGCACAGCACTGAGAATCTAAAGCCGCTTCCGCATGAGTTCGATTCCCGTCTGCCCCGGAGGTGACCACATGGCGTGGCAGACCTCTCCTGACCCGCCCGCTGCTCCCCTCAGCAGTGTACTTCGTCGATCTGCCTGTTCTGCTCCCCACTCTGTCTCTGGTGAAGCCTCTCGCTGCCCCTGAGCGTCTGGCCTGTACCCCAGTTCTGTATGCACAAATAAATTAATCTTTAAAAAAAAACAAGAAAAAGAAAAGGGGTTGGGTTGTCCTCCCTGGTGGCGCAGCGGGTTAAAGCACAGTACTAAGAAGCTAAAGCCACTTCAGCATGAGTTTGATCCTCACCCCGGAGGTGACCCACATGGCGTTGTAGACCTCTCCTGTTTTGCCCGCTGCTCCACTCAGCAGTGCACTTTGTCAGTCTGCCTGTTCTGTTCCCCACTCTATCTCTGGTGAATCCTCTCACTGTCCCTGCACCTCTGGCCTGTACCCCAGTTCTGTATTCACAAATAAATCTTTTTTTTTTTTAAAAGGAAGCAGGTGGTGAAATAGAAGGGTAGAGGTTCACATTCAGGCAATGGGGCATCAGGGAAGGGGCATCATTCGGAATCCAAAGGAGAGTGTAGTGGGCTCACAAATCATTGACTCAGTGACACAAGCTTTGCAACTTCTGTCAACCGACAAATTGTGGATGGAAGGGAAAAGCTCTGAAAAATCAAAATTTCGATGCTAACTTACGTTATGACCTCCCTTTTTTGTATAACCATAATATCAAAAATATTCCGAGCAACCATCAGTTTATAACTGAATCATAAGGCGCTGCCTGGCCCAGGCAAGCAGATGCTGCCCCAGGGCGGAAAGTCCCCTTGAAGTCAAAAGTAATTTTACAATTGGCTGATTAATAAAAACAATGGGCTGTTATAGCAAAATCAATATTGTAAAACAAGGCAGTACTAGAACATGTTAAAAAATAACCAGAACTCTTTTACTGCCCAGATGAGAACCCAAATCC